ATCACCGTTTCCTTCTGCAGCTTCTTTGTGTGGAGTTGTTGTCACAAACTTTTTTTTTTTTTAAATATATTTTTCTTGCCCTGACCAGTTTGTTCAGTGGATAAAGCATCGGTCTGTGGACTGAAGGGTCCCGGGTCCGATTCCAGTCAAGGGCATGTACCTTGGTTGCGGGCACATCCCCAGTAGGGGGTGTGCAGGAGGCAGCTGGTCGATGTTTCTCTCTCATCGATGTTTCTAACTCTCTATCCCTCTCCCTTCCTCTCTGTAAAAAATCAATAAAATATATTTTAAAAAATATATTTTTTTATTGATTTCAGAGAGGAAGGGAGAGGGAGAGAGAGAGAAACATCAATGACGAGAGAGAATCGTGGATCGGCTGCCTCCTGCACGCCCCACACTGGGGATGGAGCCCGCAACCCGGGCCTGTGCCCTGACCGGGAATCGAACTGTGACCTCCTGGTTCATAGGTCGACGCTCAGCCGCTGCGCCACGCCCGGCGTCACAGACGTTGAGTCGTCACCCTTTCCTTTCCTTTCTTCCACTCGCTGCTGTTTCCACGTCTCCATCTCGGTTGGGGTCTCATGGACCCCGTGTGCTGAGCCGTGGTGCTCCCCCTTTGCTCCATCCCTCCGTCTGTGCCAAGTGCCAAGGGCACTTTTGGGCTGTTCTACCTTTTGAGCTGGATTTCGCTTGCAGACCATTTGACCATTGAAAACCAGGCCCCTCGGTCGCATAGGCCCCGAGCTCCAGGTCTGCCTCCCCAGCGGTGGGGTTTCGGGAAGGTGCTGGCACCTCGAGGCTGAGTATCCACTTTTCTCCTCGCCCATCACCCATCGAGGACAGTGGTGCTCACCTCCCAGGGCGCAGGAGGACGACGTGTAAATGATCCGTGTGGAGCTCCTGGCCGGGGGCTAGAGACACGGTAACGGGTTTTTAGGAGTAAGAGTTTCATGTTATTTTATTTACGTGTAGATGCCATACAATGTTGAATTAGTTCCAGGGGCACAGCATAGTGATTCGGTATTTTTGAACCTTACAGTGCGGTCACCCACTAGTTCTAGCAGTCACCTGTCACCGTGCAAACGTGTCTCAGTATTATTGATAAGACATGTTCCTCCCTCTCGACTCTTGCAAAAGCCACCATAGTAGATGGCTTACCTCTCCCCCATGACCACCCTCTTCGGTTTCATCGATGCATTAAAATGCTGCTTCATTCAGGACAGCTCCCTTCCGAGGATGAAAGGTGCCTTGTCCGTTTAATCTCGGGGGGCGGGGGCGAGGAAGGCCCCGCAGAGGGGAGAGCAGGGCCTGGCCTCACTCGGCGTGCCCACAGCCACCTGCTCAGGTGCCTGTTCTGGCTCCGAGTCCCAGGGCGTGTATGTACCGGACACGGGCGTGTCGGGGGCCAGCGCGCTTGTTACACACAGCACACCCTTCAGTGCCGCTCGTTTCCAGGATCTCAGATGCCACCCTCTCAGCTTCCCGATTATACGAACGTCGCTTTTTCCCCGTTTACGCGTTGGAGCTGAGCACTGAGTTGGTCACTCGTTTTACGCAGCCTCCCCTGGTTTGCTGCTGAGGAAAGAACGAGGCTGAACCTCCCCCGGAAATGGTTACGAAGGTTATTTCCTGGGCACGAGCGAGGGGAGAGTATAGGGAGTTTAGCCTGATGGCCCTGGCCCATGTGGCTCAGGTGGTTGGGCCTCGTCTCATGCAACAAAGAGTCGCCCCTTCAATTCCAGGTCAGGGCACAGGCCCAGGGTTGCAGGCTGGATCCCCGGTAGGAGGAGCTGATGCATGTTTCTCTCTCTGTCTCTCTCTTCTTCCTCTCTCTCTCCCTGTCTCTCCCTCTTTCCCTCTCTCTAAAATCAATAGCCTGAGGTGGACAGTTTCAATGTGCCCCTCAGATGCCCAGCAAATAACGCTTCTGAAGGGAGAGAGGAAGTTGTGTCTTAGGCCAGAGAGAAGCCTCCGTGTCGTCTCCCACGAGCTGTCCTCCATGGTCACTCTGCCTTCCCCGCATGCCCTCTGACCCCCGGCCTCCGCCCTTCCGCAGATGGAGGGAGAGGACACTGGAGCGAGGGCCCATCCCCCGGATCTGCAGTAGAGCCCCCTAGGACACGCCCACGGTCCCTGCCTGTGGGGGTGCCGTGCACTTGACGTTAGCACCCTCAGGTCTCCGAGTTCTGCACGGACCCCGTGCAGTTCTTGCTGTTCCCTGTGCTGGCCGCGCCATCTGCTTATTCTCACCTGGGTTCCCGCCGTGGGTCCAGACGGGGAGCACGCTGGGGCCGGGAGGAGGCGGGAAGGGAAGGCACCTCCCTCCCAGGTCGGACAGGTCCCGCAGAGACTCCGGGCGGACTCATTCCCCGCTCTGGGTGGCGAGTCTAACACCCACCTCTAGAGAAGCATTTCCCTCCAGCTAATCCCTTGTGAATATTAACAAAGAAATTCTCTTTGCAGCAGGCGAGAGGGAAGGAAGTGAGCGGAGGAGACGCATCCGCTGTGGGCAGGAGGCGTGGGGAGTGGCCAGGTTCCGTGTCAATGACTAGGAAGGCAGGAGGCATGGAGTTCTGGGCTCCGGGGCAGAGATAAGGGATGGTTTTTGCTCCCGGCTTCCAGGCCGAGAGGAGGAGAAGGAAATGCAGGAAGATGGATGCGGGGGTGGGAAGCAAGCTCCCAGCAGGCATCGGGTGTGGGGTCCCCAGCGAAGAAATGGACGACGGGATAAATAAACACCCAACGGTGGGCGAGAGGGTAACGGACGCTGGTCCTGTTGGTTTGAGGAAGGTGACCGTTCCTCTCTTAACCCCACAGTCCGACGAGAAAAGCGGACACACATCGAGTTTGCTTCGGTGGTCACGACATCTGTTGACTTGGTCATGAACTAATGGGCACATTTGGGAATGCCCGTTTTAAAAGACACGGCTCCAAAAATAACGTTGTCACCTCAGGTTGGAGCCACGTTATAGCCCTGAAGGCAGCCGGGAGCAGCGGGGAGAAGGGAAATTAGAGAGTGACGGTGTTCGTCACCTTCCTGGGGAAGGTGCAGCCGCCGCCATCAGCCAGGACTCTGTTGTGGCATCGCCTGGTCTAACTCACCGAGTTAAATGAAGCGCAGACGAGGGCGTGCGTGGCGAGGGGGAAGAGCACCCTGCCATCTTGCTTTCTAGTAACCAAAACCCAACCAATTAGCACAGACGAGGGAAAAATCAGCTACGATATTGTATTAGAGGAGAAGGAGTTAGAAGAGATGTTTCTCCCCAAAACTGGCCTTGCGCGAGGTAGTGACGACCCTGGAGGGAAGTGGCTGCTCTCCTCCAGCGCCTCCCTGGCATCTGAGTGCCCACCCTGCTCAGTGAATGTGGTCTGAGGGCGCCCCTCCCTGCCCGGGCCCAGAGCTGCCGTTGCTCCCCTCCTCCTCGTGCAGCTCAGCGGGAGTTTGGCGGGTGGCTCGCTGCTCTCTGCAGATATTTGAAGACAAGAACCCGCACAGGAATCCCCCCAAAGTCGCCCCAAGCAGCTCCGATTCTCTGTGTCCCTACCTGGCGTTCCCTGGGCAGTACCACCGGGGGCAGTATCGCCTGGTGCTGGAACTGACCCGAGCTGAGGCACCGAGGATGGAGCATGTTCGGGAGCAGGGTTAGGTGAGCTGGGCGTGGAACTGCCGGTCCCCTGTCCTGGGCGGCGGGCAGGGGGTCTGACCTGGCCGGTCCCACTCTTCCCTCCCTGGCCCAGGCTTTCCTCACCAACAAAGGACGGCCATGGGGAGAGATGCTTCGAGCTCAGGCACTCGTGGTCTTGAAAGCCATGGTCTGCCTTTCTAAGTGAGTCATGGGACAAGGAATTGACTAAAGAAAGAAACCCGCCCGGCCAGCATGGCTCCGTGATTGAGCATCGACCTATGAACCAGGAGGTCATGGTTTGATTCCCTGTCAGGGCACATGCCTGGGTTGCAGGTTCAATTCCCAGTAGGGGGCGTGCAGGAGGCAGCCGATCAATGGTTCTCTCTCATTATTGATGTTTCCATCTCTCCCTTCCTCTCTGAAATCATATATATATATTAAAGAAAGAAACCCTCCAGCCAGCCTCGCCCTCGCTTCTTCCTGCCTTTCCCTGGTTGTGCTCAGTGGCACCTGCTCGCGCTCACTCCTCTCCCAGCTCAGGCTCCTGGTGCGACTGCCTGCAGGCCTGGCGGCAGGTGCCATTGGGAACAGCCTTACCGTGCTCCTCGGCTTTATCAGTCTCGTTTCCAATGAGTCCTTTCGCCTCTAATTACACTGTGAAGTCCACCCCACCCCCAGTGGAACCAGCCTCCTACCTAAATCCGCCTCCTGTTCTGTTTCTCACACACATTTCCCAGGAAACACCGAATCCTGCGAAAGCCTCTCTCTCTCTCTGGTACTTGGATGGAACATGCCAGCTGCCCAGAAGCCGCTCTGTTTTCTGTCCATCACCTGCAGGGGTCTCCACACCCAGATGGGCTAATATGGGTCTAAGCAGATAGACAGCTGTTAGCAAAGGAACAGCACAGACTGCATCTGGAATACTACTAACTGATTGGCACTCCGCCGGGGCGCGTGGCTACTACTGTAATATCAGATTTTAACAAACCCTTACAGAGAAGGAATGAGACATAGCCTACGCATCTCTCTCTCCCCCCCTTTCTCTCTCTCTTCCCCCCTCCCTCCCTCCCTCTTCCTCTCCCCATATATATCTCCATCCGTGCTTAGTTATGCATAGGATACAGCAATACACCTTTTTTCTTCATATGAACTGTTTCCTCCATTGGGTCTGGTCAGTAATATTTAAAATATAGAAATCCTGTCCATTAAAACATCTGCATCAAAATAGATATTTCTTCCCCTACAAAAAGACTTCAGAACTCTTTAGGGCCCAGTTTTGAAAAGCATCACGTGGTAGCCGGTTTATCTGGGCAGTTGGTTTGAGGGGCATGAAAAATAGCACGCTGCCACTAGCAAGAACTACGGGATACGTTATTGCAAGTGTTCTAAAAAATCAGAACAAAACTAATTTATTAGAGTCCTGTCTTCACTGTACACCACATGTTGGTGAGTGAAACACACCAAAGGTATTGTCTTTTTCTTTCAAAAGTGTCTACTAAAGATAAAAAGAAGAAGGTAACAAGTAACATGTGGTTTGTTACATTAAAAAAACCTGATATAGAACGTGTTTCTATTGCCTGTTAGCTTGGCCTAAGCCTCTTTAACGATTGATTACAAAAAGAAATGTCCGTGTTCAAAGGCAAACATTCAAGTCAGTGGATACAAGGTTACAGTGCAGTCAACTAACACCATTCAAAGCAGGTAACAGTCTAGCCGTGGTCACTTGAGTTGAAAGTCTGTGGGCCAAGTGGCTGCCAAGGGTCCACGCTGCTCCTCAACCACGTGGCCGCTTTTGGGAGGACGCGGTGCTTTCTGCCGATGGCTTCGGAAGACGGGGTCACGCTGCCGGCCACGGCACAGGGGAACCCCAGCCTGCCACTGATCATTGCATGGAGCATGGTCGTTAAAACAGCATCATTGAGTTTAGCAGGACAACTAAAACCAAAGAATAATCATAATAAAATCATAATCATAAGAATGGTAAGAATAAAAACCGAACACACTCCGGAAGCCCAGGCTCGCTGCGATACGCTCCACTAAGAAAACAAACAAAAAAACACAAAAAACTGAGATGGCCACCCGGCCCCTCCGCTCTGCCCCAAAGTCCAAAATACAAAAGTCTCCCACGTGTTACTTTTGCAGAATAAAGCAAAAGCGTCTTTGTGCTCCTCGCTGCCAGAGCAGCGTCTCCCGGCGTTACCACATGTAATAGCTCCTGGACGTGTCCACCTGGGCGGGCTTGGCCTCCGCGGCCCCGTCCTTGTCCTTCTCGGGGTCCCCTTCCCAGAGGTTGATGAGCGGGGGGTACAGCTCGTTGAGCGGGATCGACGAGGTCTTCTGCATGTACTTTTTCAACGAGTGGTGGTAGTTTTTCCTCTTGAACCTTTTGGCGACGTACACGGCCGTGGACGCGAGGCTGACGACGGCGAACATGGAGCCCATGACGGCGGCCAGGGCCGTGCTGGCGTCCTGGTCGGAGAGGTCCAGGGCGAAGGCGGCCGTTTTGGTGGTGACGTTGACACAGGACCGCTGCGTCTGCTGGTGGACGTTGGACACGGTGAGGCACACCTCGTAGTCGGTGGACGGCTGCAGGTGCGTGAGGTTGTACTCGTGGACGTCCACGGGCACCCGGGCCGTGTAGGTGATGTGCGGGTTGTCGACCTTCATGGTGGCCGAGGACCACTTGAGGTTCGACGTCATGACGTTGGAGGTCACTTTCCAGGACACGAGGATGGAGTGGGACTCCGTCTGCTTCACATACATTTTCAGCACCTGGGCCCCGTCCAGGAGGGTCCCGTTGACCTTCACCGTGACCACGCGCGTGTCGGCGCCTTCCACATTCTGGGCCACGCAGGTGTACCTCCCGGAATCTTCCGTGCGGACGTTGGGGATCTCCAAGGTGCCCTCACTACTCAGCGTGTACCTGTCGGAGAGCGTGTCCCCGGTTATCTTCCTCCCAAGGGGCGTGACCCAGTAGATCTCGGGCTCCGGCTCAGCCAGGGCCCGGCAGTCCAGGAGCACCGTGGCGCCGAGCTCCACGCTCAGGTGGCCGGGGAAGGCGTCGTGGGCGATCATGGGGAGGCAGCGCTCGCCCGAGTCCCGGGCCAGCGCGTCCTTCACCGGCTGCCCCCGCAGCTCGGGCGGCGCGGCGCAGAGCATGGACAGCGGCTCCATGAAGCGGATGCTGGTCGTGTTGGCGGCCACCCAGCGGAGGACGCAGTCGCACCGCAGCGGGTTGCTGTGGATGCCGATCTCACGCAGGTTGGGGAGCGACGCCACGGTGGCCCGGTACACGGCGTGGAGGGCGTTGTTGTTCAGCATGAGGCTCTCCAGCGCGGGCACGCCGCGGAAGGCCCGGCGGTGGACGTAGGAGAGCTTGGGGTTGTTGGTGGCCTCCAGCTTGGTGAGCTCGGGCAGGTTGTCGAGGGCGTAGCGGTCCACGGACACCAGCTCCCCCATGTTGTTGAGCCCCAGCTCCTTCAGCCGGAGCATGTTCCGGAAGTCCCCCTCCTGGATTTTGTGGATGGGGTTCTTATTGAGGTCGAGGAACTTCAAATTGGGGACTTTCTGCAGGGCCAGCTGGGGGACCTTGACCAGCCTGTTGTCGTAAAAGGACAGGCTCTCCAGGCTGTCCAGGCCCACCAGCGCGTTCCCGGGCACGTCGGTGAGGCACATGCCCGCCAGCACCAAGCTCCGCAGGTTCACGAGGGGCCGGAAGTTCATGTCCAGGATGCCGACCACGGGGTTCTCGCCGATCATGAGGATCTCCAGGTTGGGCGTGGCCTCGAACCAGCGGCTGTCGATCACCCTGAGCCTGTTGGAGTTGAGGTGCAGCCGCAGCAGGTTGCGCAGGCCGGCGAAGGCGCGCGCCGAGATGGCGCGGATCTGGTTGTGGTTGATGTAGAGCTCCTGCAGGCTGCCCAGGTCCTGCAGGCAGCGGTCGGGCAGCTCGGCGATCTGGTTCTCCTCCAGGTGCAGCGTGGTGAGCCGGCTCAGGTTGGCCAGCCCCACCTCTCGGATGCTGCTGAAGTTGTTCTGCGAGACGTCGAGCTCCGTCAGGTTGCAGAGCTGCTGCAGCTCGTCGGCCGTGGCCGCGATGCTGTTGCTCTGCAGCAGCAGCACCTGCGTGTCGCTGGACAGGTTGCCGGGGATGCGGGTGAGGCGCAGGTCGTTGCAGTCCACGGTGGTGGCCTCACGGTAGGTGGACTGTGGGGTGAACCAGGGCCGGACCTCGCACACGCACAGCTGCGGGCACTCGCCACTCTGCAGGGAGGACCCGGCGAGGGAGGCCAGCAGCAAGCCCAGCGCCAGGCCGGACGCCGCCGCCGGAGCAGGTCGCATCCTGGCCATGCCGCCCGCCACTGAGCCGGCCCGCCCTGCCCGCGCACCTCTCAGCAGCTGGCGAACGCCCTGGAGTGACCCACAAACATTCAAGCAAAGTCTCGGTGGCGCGGCGGAGAGTTCCGGAGCCCGCAGGACGGTTCTCTGGAGTTTTCAGAGGCCAGGACGCCAGAGCCTCAGCTGTGGCTCTCCATCCCGGGCTCGCCCACGGCCGGCACAGGGCCCTCAGCCTGATCCAATCTGCAGGTGCGCCTGGAATGCAAGTGGGACAGACATTACATTTATCCCGACACCCTCCATCCCAGCCTTTCTCTGTCTGCTGAGCAGGCACAGACCCTCCAAACGTAACAGCAGGATGTTCCACGCAGCTCAGCAAGCTCTGAGTTGCAGGCACTTTGACTATAGTTCCCCTTTACAGTTAGATTGGGACTGCTCATGTTATTGGGTAAAATCATCACCACACACACACGCACACGCACACGCACACACATGCACACACACACACACACACGCACACACACTTAATAGGAACATTCAGAAAAACCCACAGATGTCATTAAAACACACACAAAAGTGACTTTAGAAACTACATGTCCCGGGTGTCAAACAATGTACACACACTTCAGTAGCCGACAGCTCAGTTTTGAAAATAAAATGTATTTTAATAAATATGCCTTTATAATTCAAAGTGTCTTATACTTTTGGGGGGACGCCCTATATTTATGGCACCAAAAAATAAAAAATACAAAAGGTCAAAAACAAGACAGGGCAGGCAGGTCTGCCAGCCTTTGACCCTGGAGTCGAGGTGAGGCCTCTGGCTTCAGATGCAGTTGTGTGACCTTGAGCGAGTCGTCAGCGCTTTCTTCCTGAGGCTCCGTCTCCTTTTTTAGAAAACAGATCCTAAAAGCTCCTCTTACGTGGGGCGGGGAGGACTCACAGGCTGGTACGGGCAGAGCTTGGGCAGAGCGCCTGGCACTGGCCGCAGATGGTAGCGGTCATTCCCAGGTTCGCTGCCTCCGCTGGGTCTGAAGCTCCGTGTGGGTGCCGAGCACGACAGCAAGGCGTGGGTGGCGGCAGCAGCAGAGCATGCTTTGTGGCGTCAGCAACTCCAGGTTCTGAAAGGCCTGGCCGGAGCCTCCCCCAGGGCAGTAGGTGGCTGGTGCAGGGAGAGCCCGAGAGTTTGCCACAAGCTCTTTTCTTTTTTTTAAAAAAAATATTTTTATTGATTTCAGAGAGGAAGAGAGAGGGAGAGAGATAGAAACATCAGTGATGGGTGAGAATCTGACTGGCTGCCTCCTGCACGCCCCAACACTGGGAATGGAGCCCGCAACCCGGGCACGTGCCCTGATCAGGAATCAAACCGTGACCTCCTGGGTCATAGGATGATGCTCAACCACGGAGCCACCGTGGCTGAAATGCTGGAGCTCTTTATGGAGGGTTTATTGTATTTCCTCTGGGAAGGCGAGAGGGTCTTGCAAATGCATTCTGAACGCTGACCCTGCATGGACTACTTTGGAAGACATTCGTTTCGTGGACTCTTGTCTGGCCCTGACCCTTTCTGAGTCTTACATGTCGTCCTCCAACCATTTTCCCAAATGATGCTCCTTGTTCACGCATTATCACTTGTACCGTGGCTCAGGGAGCACAGATGGAGGAGGGTGTGTCTGGGAGGAAGGGCTGTAACAGTCTCCCTGTCCCTGCAAGGACACGTGGAGCTTCGCAGGCTCCTTTGTGTCGGGAACTGCTCTCGGGAGCCCGCACCCTCATCAGCGAGCAGGGCCCCGTGGCCGAGCCCCCGCGTGAGGACACCAGGGAAGGGCTTCATTTGGGCTTCACCCCACCTTCCCAGCTGACCTTGAGCCGGTCTGGACACTTTGTGTCCTGTTTTATTATCTTAGACTAAGTAGGTTGAGAGGAGAGCTCGCAGCGTCCGCGGCCAGAGGGACCTCAGGAACCATCTTCTCAGCCAGCTCTCCTCGGGGTGAAAACGACTTCTGGCCGTTCTCTGTGAGGTGACGCTCCTTCCCTCCCCGCTTTGTGCTATTTAAATGCTACGGAGGCATGGAGTTCGATTAGGCCAAGGAACCCAAGCTGTGCCAGGGGGTGGGTAGGGGAGGTCACTGAGCCTAACAGGCCTGGTAAGAAGCTGGAGGGTGCGTGCACCCCCAACCCCCCGGAAATGTGCAGCCGCACAAGCCGAGCAAAACTCTGCTTTCTGAGGCTTTTTATGGCCTGTGGCCGGTTTGCAGCATCTGAATCACAGAAGAAAGTAATAATAGTATCGCCCACGATGCTTATTAGCTAGTGGGAGTGTTTGACAACTAGATGATTAGCTAGACATTTGGGGATGTTATTGGCACAGGGTCCGTGTGTGAAAACCTACCCTTAGAAGCCCAGTCTGCTACGCACCGTGCATCTCTGCTCTGAAGAAAACGTTAGCGCTTGTTAAAGGCGCATCCCATTTACAAAAATCGATCCTCATTCCTTTTCTTGGAAGACCTACTTTCAGAGGCAGCACCTGAGCGATCCCCCGGGTGATGAGAGGTGGCCCAGTTCGCTGGCGGAGGAGCCGCATAAATCCCGGACTCAGCGTTTCCTAATCTGAGCACTTGACGTTTCTCTGCTGGTCCTCCCAGTTCCCACAGGAACATTGGATTGTCCTTCCCCTGGTTTTATTTTCTCCCCCTTTTCTTCTTGTATTTGTTGTTATTATTTTTATTCATTGCCGGGGTCTCAGGCATTCTCTGGTGCGTGTGGGAGGTGTAAAGGCACTAATGCACGTCACATGGCCATTCCAAAGAACCCCGGTGGTCATCGGATGAGCGGGCTGTCCGCGAAGTAGCAGAAGCACAGATCGGCCCGCAGGGAGCAGGTCAGCTCTCGAAGGCGATGCCCATCCCCCCCCAAAGGCTGAGCTGCACACGTCAGAGTCAAGATCCGGGTGCGGCTCATCTGTTTGCCAAGGAGCTCGGCAGCACGGGGATACCATTTCTTAATTTTAAAAGAAACGTGTGAACCTGATCTTTGCAGCTTGTTCTAGGACCTCGCAGGCAAGGCTAGTACTTGCACACGGACTGTCTCAGCTCAGCGCCGACCTCATTTTCCCTGCCATATTGTGAAAAGTCACTCACCAGATACAGTTTGAAGAATTCTTACACCTGGTATCTGTCAAATCCCTTTAACCCTGAGCGTCTGTGACAGGCAAAGGACGCAGGACCAGGGAAAAAGGATTTTTTTCTGTTTAACTCGCTTGTAGGATCAAGAAAGTTCCTTGTTTTTCTTTATAAGAAATGAACTGTTTGCATAGTCAGAGCCGTCAAGTAGCAATTCAGCATCGTCAAGTTGGGAGTGGACAGGTGGCTGAGCGGACAGAAGGCAAAGCGGACGAACAGCTAAGTGGATGGATGGGTAGGCGGTTGGAAGGCTAAGTGGTTGGAAGGCTAAGTGGACGGGAGGCTGAGCGGACGGGAGGCTGAGTGGACGGGAGGCTGAGTGAACAGGTGGCTGAGCGGACGGGAGGCTGAGCGGACAGGTGGCTGAGCGGACGGGAGGCTGAGCGGACGGGAGGCTGAGCGGACACAACAGGAAGCGACACCTGGGCTGCTTTATGCTCCTTTTTAGCACCAGCAAGTGCAGTGACATGAAAACTGCCACGGAACCCATTCATTTTAGTCTTTTTACAAATTATTTTAATTCTCTCCTCGTAATATGCCCATATGAAATAATTGCTCTGTAATTACCACCATGATTGCATGTTAAATAAACGTGAACTCCTCCGTGTGGCGGCCTCACTCTGCCTCCCCGGCTCTGTCTCTTCACACCCTTTTCAGCCCTTCCCAGGGTACTGCTCGGTACTGCTCGGCGTTTTCACAGCGGAGACTCGCCAGGCCGTGCCAGTACATGCTGCGCAGGAGCCGCTGCCAGCGGTCTGGGTGACGCGTCCAGAACTGCAGACAGGCCGCTGGAGAGGCAGACCCATCGGGGTTGGCACGGACAGGGCAGGTGCGCTGCGGACACCAACACCGTCAACCCCAGGAGCCTCTGCCAGACTGGCTTGTGTGCCCAGGCCAGTTCAGGTTCAGTGTCACAGTGAACATGACTCTCATCAAGGAAATGGCAAAGGCTTTCATTTCTTCAGGATATTTATTGCAGTTTTCTTTACTCAAGGAGAGTTCTGTACCATTGTGATCACATACATGTATATATATATTGTATATATGTACATATATTTAAATATGTTTATTGATTTCAGAGAGGGAGAGAGAGATGGAAACATCAGTGATGAGAGAGAACCATCGATCGGCTGCCTCCTGCCTACTGGGCATTGAGCCCACAACCCAGGCATGTGCCCTGACTGGGAATCCAACTGTGACCTCCTGGTTCACAGGTTGAAGCTCAACCACTGAGCCACACCTGCAGGGTTGGTTATATATTTTTTTAATCTGCTGGTAATTTTTATTAACTACCTGACATTTTAACAGAATTCTTATTTAAAAAAATTGAACATCCAATGTTCTTAAGGTGGGAGCCTGTACTTTTTTTTTCCCCTTTATTGATTTTTAGAGGAAGGGAGAGGAGTAAAGAGATAGAGACATCACCCGGCATATGCCCTGACCAGGAATCGAACCCGTGGCCTCTTGGTTCTTGGGTTGATGCGCAATCTCTGAGCCACACCGGCCGGGCGGGAGCCTGTATGCTTTAGCTCAGATCCACTGACACGTCTCTAGAGTCTGACTCCTTAGCATTTACCAGTTAGAAAACGAAGCGTTTAAACTGGAGCCTGGGAAAATGCCAAGCACACAGCCCCTCCCTCGGGGACGGACATATGGGAACGCACCACCATTTAGCATCAAGTTCTGCTCCTCGCGGTTAGAGACAGCGGTGCGGGGGTGCATGGCCGTGTCTGCCCTTCGACTCGACAGACCCCAGGCACCCTGTGCTTCCACGGAACGCCATCCCTTGGGAAGAAGCAAAATGAAGCCATCTGTCCCTGAGCTCTTAAAATCAACTTGGCTTCGAGCTCCTGTGCTAAATGGTTTTTATACGACTGTTTGCTCTAATACGGATCTAAAGAACTTGGTTTTCTTCATCATTGAGAAGTGTGCCCGCCAGCGCAACCTTCCCTCCGCAGGGCGGGGGCCAGGGGCCTGTCAGGAAGTGTCACCCTGTCCCAAGGACAGGGCAGGGCAGGACGCAGCGCGAAGGGGGCCCAGCGCAGAAGTGCCCCCTGCTTCACGCTCCGTGGGGGCTGAGGCCACTGCTCTGTCTTACAAGTGGCTCAGAGCTGAAGGGACCAGTGGTGACCCCCACAGCTGCTGGGGAAATGCCAAGAGGGACCCACATTTGCAGCACTGGAGGGTGGGGCGCTGGTGTGATGCCACCTCCTTACCCGCATCCCCCGGGGCCGCAGTGGAGACAGAGTGCCCGAAGCCTCCGGGCACACACACACGAATACGACCTTGTGATGAAGCAACAAGGTCGCTTGGTACTGAAGGTCAGGCTCGGGGAACCGGCGCATGTAATTTCTGGGAAGCTGAGGGTCTCCTAGGAAGTGGTAGTTCCAATCTTTCAATCTTTAATACCCACCTCTTGCCTTTGATAGGGGTTGTTGTTGTTATTACTTTCTTAAATATATTTTTATTGATTTCAGAGAGGAAGAGAGAGGGAGAGAGAGATAGAAACATCAATGATGAGAATCATTGATTGGCTGCCTCCTGCACGCCCCACACTGAGGATTGAGCTTAAAACCAGGGCATGTGACCTTGACAGGGAATCAAATCTGGGACCTTTCAGTCTGCAGGCTGATGCTCTATCCACTGAGCCAAACCAGCTAGGGTATTATTATTATTAAGACATATTCCTTCCCTGCCCTGATAAGGAACTCATACTGGCCCCCAATCTCAAGTCTTTGTTACTAACCTATTTTCTTCCAATTTTCCCTTTTCCTCCTAAAAGTGGCCCCCTGAGGGGGAAAACATTCTAGTGAATTAGGATTTCTGGTAATCAGGTTTTTAAATTGTTTTGGCGAATTGAAATCGGTTCACGCCACCTCCCTGAGTTGGAAATAGCTCATTACGAAGTCTCCTCGGTGCCCAGGTGTTGCCCTGTGAGGATGCACTGAGACCCACGGTCCAGCGGTCAAAGGGCTCGGATTGAGGACGCCGTCAACCAGGGTGTGGGAGGGGACGGTCCTTCGTCACACCATCCAGGCCTCCCTGTCACCAACGGGGCCAAGGGCCCGCGGGGAACCTCCCAGGGCCCACACGCATCAGAAATCCTGGCACTTTCCTTCGTCTCGTCTCCATCCCCAGCCGTTATGAAATTAAGAGCAACAGGAATAACTTTAATGGAACACCCCTGTCGTCACCCATGACCATGACATCAGGAAATAGCCCGAAGCCGGTGTGCGCTCGCCTTTATTCCCGGACGTCCCAGCTTCCCCGTGGCCGCCGTGGTGACTTTCTGAACTTGACATACTGGGCTCATCTGTTTCATGAAGTGAAATGGAAGGCATCGCTTAGCAGGGCTGCGTAAAAAGACCCTTCCTTAATAAGATACGTTTCGGAATAAATCGTGGGCCGTCTTCTCTCTCCAGAACGAGCACCCACCTTGAACGTTTTCTCTGTTCAGATGCTTATAACCGAGAGTAGTTGGATGCTCCTGGCAGTTTATTACTGCTTCCAGTCACGTGTGCTGGAAACAGGACCAGCGGGTGAGAATCATTTTCTTGGGAAATGAAGCAACTTGAAGCAGGAAGCTTTGGCGATGTGGCTGGAGACACAGGCAGGTAGCTGATTTTTGCTTCAGGGCTTCTAAGCCTCAAACATCTAATTGGCGAGAAGCCCTGGGTTTGGAAATATTACCACCAACGTGTGGCTGGTCATTCAAAACCGTTCCAAATGCCACGCGAGCGATGGGAAAGAGTTGGAATACTTTGCAGAGCGGCAGTTCTGGGTCCGGCCCTGGCAGAGGGTGGGGGTGGGCAGGGTTGGGAGGGTCACTGGCCAGCGGTGTGCTTTTCTTCCCAATTCCAAGTTCCGAGACATTTTAGGCGCATGGAGGGGTCATGGCGGGTGTGTTTACACCACAGGCATTGGCAGGCACTGCACGTCAGGGCTCATGTGGCGCCGGCCGCTGACCACTCCCCGACAGGCCGCCCGTGGGAAAGCACCGGAGCACACAGTGGGAACAGGTGCTCGAAGTAGGGACTCGCTCCCCTTGGATGAGATTCAGGCTCTGCCAACATAGGGGCGAAGTCAGGACAGGAGGTCGGACGGTGCCTCGATACGGGCCCTTACTGCCTTGCTAAGGAGTTTCCCCCACTTCTTACACGTGGCCGATACCCAGCAGGAAGCGGATGGTACACTAGTACGTAGTCAAAAGGGAGGAATAAAGAAAGTCTTCAAAAGGGACCATTTACAAGGCCCGGGCAAGGCTAAGGCAAACTCCCAAGGGATGGGCAAGCACCGCTGTTATCTGCGGTCCTGCTGAGAGATACTGGTAGGTGAGCTCTCCTCCGTCCCCTGCGATCACCACGTGGTGAGTGTGAGAATGCAGTCGTGTGTCGATACAAAGAAGGAGCTGGAACAGAGGACGGGGCGGCACGCCGACTCAGCTGAGCTCCCGTGTGATGCACCGTGATGACTGTGATCAGGCCGTCTCCCCACGGAGGACAATTCGCTGTCAACCAGGTTTCACAGTCATTAGCGCCCTAATGTGATCACTCTCCACCTATGTCTCCTAGAGGGTCTGGCTCGCTCACCACCAGTCACCTCTCGCGTGCCGACACCAGCTAGATGTGGCCAGATGTGGCCGGGTGCGAGCGCCACAGCGGGGTTGGTGAACAAGAGCGACACCACATGCGAGGCACCTGCGGGCCATGTGGGAGGGAAGCTCTGAGACGGCCCCTGGCCGGTGTTCATACCGTGGACACCTGTCACCTGTGGGCAAACGGGGGTGCTGTCAGCCAGCCTGTGTCTTCATTGGGGCCGGGGAGGGGGTTCATCTCCAACCAAAGGAAAACGTATGACGGGGCTGGGGGGAGGGGAGACAACGAAAAGTAGAAAATAAAAGGTGAAGTAGCCCTGGCCTGTGTGGCTCAGCAGATAGAGCGTCAGCTTGAGGACTGGAAGGTCGGGGTCCGAGACCTGGCCAAGGGCACCTACCTGGGTGGCAGGTTCCATCCCCGGCACCCGGTTGGGGTGCGTGTGGGAGGCAACCAGTCGATGTCTCTCTCTCATCAGTGTTTCTCTCTCTCCCTCTGCCCCTCCGTTCCACTCTCTGAAAATCAATGGAAAAAATATCCTCGGGTGAGGATTAACAACAAAAAAAATTTTTTTAAAAAAGAAAGTGAAATTCAAACCTAGGCCCGCATGGTCCAAAACTGTGTTTCCTGTTCCGTTGGGCATTTCCACCGACCATCACTACATTCTCCTCCCTCTCTCCTCATCCTCTCTCCCCTAGGAGTCTGGTAGCTCCCCTGGGCCAGAAGTACCACCACCCACATTCCTTCACCCCCCCCACCCAGCCCCTCCTAACAGCACTGCTGGTCTCCATGCCTCTAATGAGTACTTTCTGATTAATCACACTTCCTTGGCATTCACCTCATAAAGGCATCCCCAGATGAGCTCGACTCCCTGCACCAGCCTCTGTGAATAAGGCAGCGGTGTCTCTGCGTCTGATGCAGGTTACGACCTGCTCATGTCTGCCTAGTGCTGTAGGAAATACCCGAGAAAGTGGCACAGAAGCAGCAGGAGGCGCCTGGGAGACGCAAGACGTGGAAACGCTTCTGGGCTCCACGCCGCTGGGTACTTGCTACGGGCGTGTCCCGTGTGCGAGGCCCTTCTGGGGGCCCGGGTTGAGCGTGGCAGTCTCCCCAGGAACTGGCGGTGGTGCTGAATGACCACGATGGGAATAAGCAGCCCTGAGCTGGGAACACAGGCCAAGGAGAGGCGGGAAGTGAAGGTCAGCGAGGCCCTGGCCTTGCGCACAGAGCAGTGGCAAGATGCTGGGCGGATTCCTATCTCTCGTTTCCTCATCCTCAAAGTGGGGATAATTCTTACCTGCCGGAGTCTATGTGCGCCTCAGTGGTTGAGCATCGATCGACCTGTGAACCAGGAGGTCGTGGTTCAATTCCCAGTGTACAGCCTGGGCTATGAGCTCGATCCCCAGTAGGGGGCATGCAGGAGGCAGCCGATCCATGATTCTCATCATTGATGTTTCTCTCTCCCTCTCCATTCCTCTCTCTCTAAAAAATCAATGAGAGCATATTAAGGAATTCCGATTCCACAGGGAAATGCCGCTTGTACTCATCCAAGCCGCTGCGGTTTGGAACTGTGCGGAGGGTTGTACGCGGGACCTCACAGGAGCCCTGTGACTCTGCCAGGCGGGTTCCAGGTTATTTCCCCATTTTACCGAAGGGGATGCTCAGGCTCACTCCCTCCCTCCAGGCCAAAGCGAGACGGTTTGGGAACTAATTCTTCCCGACTGAGCCCTGCCTGGTTCCCCACCCCTTGCCCTGCCGGGCTCACACTGGCTGGCGCCTCACCTGCCTGTCAGAATCCCCTTAAAGCAAAAGTCTTTGGAAGCGAATCTCAGGTGTTTGTAGTGTGGCCGTGGCTCCGAGCTCGTGTAAAGCCATTCCATGCACGTCGTAAGAGTCAGCAGCTTTCTTCATGATCAGTCATTCTACTTGTCTTTTTAATTCTTCATGATCAGTCATTCTACTTGTCTTTTTAATTTTTAAGAAAACACCTAAATTTAGGCAATGGTGGTATAATGTGCAGTGTGATGGCGATGGAGAATGGCACCTTTAAGTGTGCAGTTTTCACCCATTTAAACGTATTTACCTTATATACAGTTTTAAAAACACTGCTGCTAATTCCAATACAATTTCAATGGATAATTCAGGGACTGGTTAAATGAAAACTCCAAGCTATATTTTAAGATTGAAAGTAACAGAAAAGCAAAGTCCATCCTGCTTGATTTTCCGTAGCCTCACGTTAATAACGAATTATAGACGTTTTAGAGCCAGATGGGCCGTGAGAGCCAGTCTAGGCCAATCCTTTGGTTTTATGGCTGCAATTATGGGAAGAAACCTAGCCTGGGCTCTAACGGTGCAGGTGCAGCGTCAGAAAGACCCGCATTCACTTCCCTGCTTCGCCGCTGACCAGCTCCGAGGCACCATCTGCCCCGTCTCAGAGCCGGTTCCTCGGGGTGCCCCGCCCAGAGCGGGCCTGCCGGTCCCTGAGATGCGAATAAACCACCCTCTCCTCTCAAACATTCATTCACTCGACAGATGCTCAGAGTACACGCACCAGCTGTGTGACACGGGGCTCCTGACCGCATGGCTTCCTGCCTTGGTTTGCTGAGCTGTAAAATGGGTATGAAAGTCATGGGAGGATCCGAGGAGTTAAGGTGTGTGAGTGTGTGGGATGTCCCGGCAGCTGGAAGGGAACAAGGATCCTGGACTTCATTCTCCTTCTGTGACTGCGCCCTGTGTCAGGGAACATGGTGGCCGGGGACGGGACCTGGGAGCCCTGGCAGGCTTTTCTCATCTACAAAAGCACCTCGTTTGCATGGAGCACCTCTCTCATCTCTGCTCATCCTGAGGGTGAAGCCACTGGGAAATCCCACGCGGCTTGGGTTCTGCCAGGGCTGCCCCTGGTGCCCGGGGGAACGTCCCGCCAGCACCTGCCCTTGTACTTGGTGTTTTTCTCTGTGCAGGACCCACGGGTCTCACCTGGCCTCCCAGGGTGTATGAGCACGTGGTGAGGCCGGCTGGGATCCAGGGACAGGCTGTCCCCGTAGGACACAGCGAAGCTAACGCATGGGTCCTTTGGGGTTAAACCTCCCGTCGTCCTCACTGGCAGGACATCACCAGGGGGAGGAAGAGCGGAGGGACCCCGCTAGCGGCCCCGCCCGTGGTTCTGTGCTGGGCGCCGAGTCCACGGAGGCTCCGTCTGTGTCCTGGGCTTCTCAGGACGAGGCTGCCGGCCTGTGGGACTGACCCTCTGCGTCGCCCGCTCCCGTCTTTCCCAGGGGGAGGGTTCCGGGCATGGAAGCAGTGACATCACCTCCCTGCTACTTGCTCTCCTGTCTCCTGGTGCGGTGCTGGCTCGCCTCCTGGGGCACAGGCACAGGCACAGGCGCTGTCGTTTCTCCTGTGTGACTCCCGGGGACTGTGATCATGGCCCCACACTGGGCGGCTGTGGCGGGGGAGCAGCTCTATGTATTTTAATTGATTTCAGAGAGGAAGGGAGAAACATCCATGATGAGAGAGAATCATGGATCGGTTGCCTCCTGCGCGCCCCACACTGGGGACCGAGCCTGCAACCTGGGCCTGTGCCCTGACCGGGAGTCGAATCGTGACCTCCTGGTTCATAGGTCGATGCTCAGCCACTGAGCCACGCCGGCTGGGCAGAGGAGCAGGTATCCTGAGATGTGTATTTGAGGGACGCCCTCCTGGCGAGGTGGGCGCTGTTGAAGGCTGGGACTGCCCTTTCCTGGGAGCCACTGGGGGTGTGTGTGTGGTTCCAGAAAACAACCGGTTCATCCCCCCCAAAACTTTAAGTAGTTGTCCTCTGCTCCCAGGCCCCCCAAATATCTGCCACAAAAACCTTTCCCAGAGAAGGATGCCGCGTCACATGGAGAGTGCTCCTGTAACCATGGCAACCAAAAAATGCCACCGATGT